GTTTTTCTAGTAGCGGACGTTAATCCCCTGTATACCTTATTGAGACAGAGGTACAGCTGAATCTGTCTTCAGTAGGCAAAGCTGACCAGGTAGATATGTTTGCAAATGATATAGTGAGACACCAACTTCTGGCCAGCTTCAAATGGAAATGTGGGGTGTGCTTTGGTCCATTAAATGTCCAGCAGTGCTGCAGAGTCCAAAATGATCCTAAATTTGCTAATGGCATTTATCTTAAGGGAAATGGCTTTGGTAGTAAGGGAAGGCATATTCTGCAAAGTGCAATCTCATTCTTGCCTGTGTTTGGTTTGTGCTAGCTGTTGATTTTTTGGCTTTAGCAGGAGATGATTGTTTAAGTAGCTGAGTGCTTTTTCATACTGCAACCTGTATGAATGATACAAGGGCAAAGACTGAGCCTTTTGGGATGCTATAGGTGGGAGCTCTGGGGTTGGAAAGAAACATTGCTTGCAGTGACCTGTGAGTTTGGTCTGAGATAGAGGCAAGGAGTTTCCCTGCAAAACATGAATATTTTGTAACTAACAACAGGATCCATTATTTTCTATGGGAAGAGCCAGTGAGATAGATACAGGTGCATTCTGTGATCTATGGGTAAGAAGATCAGCCACCAAAAAAAAAATGCTTGAAGTCTGTGCTTCTGTCTTTGTATTGTGGTGAGAAGTTTGACTGCCAGGATTCGGGTAGCTAGCTGGTGGCACTGAAGATGGATTTTTTGCCAGGTTTTCAATCAGCTTGCCTGGAAAAGCAGGATGACATTTTGTCATGGCTGTAGCTTCAGTGGTTGATTTCTTTAGCATTCATCGGACTACTTTAGGGAGTATGGTACCTTCTCATCCAGATGGGAGATGTCAAGGATCTCTGGTGTTGATTTCTGCATTTCTACCATCCAGCAGAGGCAGATTCAGAGTTATGGTGATGATCCGGATTATTTTCAGTGCTATAAAGGCTTCTCTTTGTTTGAATAGGGCAAAATCCTTGCAGGAAGCAGTGTCATTCTGTCCCTGTGCTAAACCTACCTCTGGAAACCCACTGAGCCATTTCAGGTGTGTGTAATCCTATTAGTGAAAAAAGATTGTCCTTATTCCTTGCAGGAGCATGTGTTACATTCAGGGATTTATGGAAAGCTGTTTCAATTTTCAAAGCTGTTTGGGGCCTGGCAAAGATCCACAGGGAATGATTTCCATGGCAGAGGAGGGATGGGCCCTCTAGGCCTCGTCCGTGGCAGTGGCATGGCGCTTTACTGAAAGACTCCAGTGCTGTGACTCAGGATAACAAATGGTTTCCTCTGACACCAATGAAGAATTCATTTTCCCTCTTGCTTTTCAGTCACCAGATGCCTGATTATGGCATGCTCTGTGAACCGTATGATGGCTCTGCCTCCCTCCAATACCACTTGGTGAAGAGACATCTCCTGTTTAAAAGGATTGCTCAATGCCTCTTGTCTCTGGCTTTTTCTGCACTAGAAAATTGTTGGGAACATGCCATAACTAACACAGTGTGAAACAGGCCAGGGAAGTAGCGCTGCTGTGTTTAAAACCCTGTCAGTGGGTGACATCTAGCCGGGGGCTGGCTAGCTGCAATCAGTTCAAACCAGTGTAAATGTGGCAGTCCCTGTCCCACGATTAGTTCATGCAGGTTCTAGTCCAGGTCATTTCCAAATGTCGATGATTCCCCTGAGTATAGGGATGGATTTGGTGAGAAGGGAGAGATTTCAGTATGCCAGGATGATGGGTGGGAGTGGGGATTGGGGGCGGGGGGCAAGGCTGGGGAAGAAATTCCCATCTTTAAAGCTGTCTTTTGACAACTGTGAACTCTGGAGCAGTGCCTGGAGCAAAGAAGCCTCAGTCCTCTCTGAATACTTCCATAGTAGCAATGTGTCCTCTCTACCCATTGGAGAAATTATAGCATGTGACCACTGCACAGTTTTAATACTTCATTTGCTTCTGAGCTCTTTAAAAATCCTACTCATTGGTCTTGTGCATCTTTAGGCACATTTTATGTAGAGAATCAACACTTGTAACATCTTGGAGCAGCGTGTCACGTTCTTGGTCCAGGGCCTCATATGCACCAATTAACAATCAAATAATTTCCCCCTCTCTGGAAGTTTATACTTGTCCTGGCTGTCTCCCCAAGCTTTCCCACTCCCAGGTTTTCTGAGCTCCTTCCCAGTTGAAAGCCTTGGTAGAGGCCTTGCTAGACACCCCCAGCCCCGATGAAAATCATAATGGAATTTAGGCAGAGCCCAGGTGCTTGATCTGGCTTATTTCTCAGCGTAGGCCAGACCCCAAACTAGGTGTCTAGGGATCTTTTGAGGCCCAAATTAGGTGCTTGTGAGAATGATCTGGGTTTGGCCTTTATCTCAATATTTGACTCCCCTATAAAGCTGATTTAATAAGAAGAGACTAAGGGCTGGAAAACACAGGAGGGCAGAGAACTGGGGTGCAGTCTTAGTGGGAAAGAGCGCTAAAGGGGAACCAGAAGAGCCTATTGAGGATAGCTGGAGAAGCTAGGCTTGCCGATGACTCTGTCATAGGATGATATGACTCCAGGTAAGGTAGATGCGCATACAGACTATTTGTTTAAAACTCTTTCCCTATCTAAATCTTTGTCCCTAGTTCTAGTTGAACGGTAGGGATAAAACAGCACAAACTAAATCTTCTGTAGAAAAAGACGGATGAGGGCTGAAAGTAGAGCAGTTCCTTAGTGGGAAATGCTGCTGCTGAAGGAGATTTGTTTACAAGCCAAAAATGATTTCTAATTTAAACTGCTTTTTAAGTCAATGTGGATTTATTCCCTTCTGGGTTTGAAACTTTGGGTAGGGAAGGACTCTCATAGAGGACACAGCTGAAGCTGTTTCAGATTGCAAAACAGAGATGATTTATGCTACAGCCTCCTGCTAGTTGCTTTTTTCTATTACCATGATGCAACTTCTGCTCCTCTTCGGGGTGCAAAATAGAGTGGTTTTTCTTGGAGACACGGCAAGCCAAACCACTCTTGGTTACATCATTTTGTGTCTGCACTCTTAGCTAATCAGCTTATCCTTGATATACAATGTATGCCCCTGTTTGCCAACTGGTTGGCAGAGTACATGCAGGAGTGGTAGTCATGTAGCCGTCATCAGGATTGTACGTGTTAACTCTTTTATAACTCCACTATATAATGCCTTGGCCATAGATCCAAGTTTTCTTTTCTTGTAGCATTTCCCAGGAGACACGAGGGTTGGACTGTTGCTTGCGATTGCCAGCGAGTTAATTCCCTCTATCACAGCAGATCCCACAAGGGATTTGCTGGAGTATACTATGTTCTGCAGTGCTGTGCTCTGTCCAGATGTCAGTGGCACAACTTCCCTGCTCCGTCGTGTAGTACTACACCACGAGAAATTTTCTTGAATTCTTCCTTTCCTGATTCAGCCCTATTGTTCTTGCTGTATTATCACACCCTGTTCTCTCTTCTTGATCGCCACTGTTTTGGAGGCTGAAGACTTATAATTTCATAAGCCTCCAGTCCTGGCTGTACTCATTTTTGTTACTCTTTTCTGAGTGCCTTCTATCTTGTTGACATCTCCCTGAGGTTGTGGACTTCAGGGCCAGGGCACACAAACTGGTTGTCACAAAGGTAAAAAGGGGCTGGGATTTACCATGTATCACCTGCTCTATAGTAACTGCTGATGATAAAAGGGGCAGCTTAGCCTTTTTTCTATTGACGATGGTTTCCTTTCCATTTGCCATGGGGTGCACACAGACAGTTCCCAGCGAGTCACTGATGTCTGTTAAGTGCCTGCCCCATTTTTGCTCACCATAACTGGTTGGGTTGCCTACAGGGATGGATCCAGATGGGGTGCAGTGGTGCAGTCATGCCCCTCTTTGATTCCCGATCCTCCCAGTTTAAAACCAACTGCCTGGCAGTGGCAGTAGCATTTCTATTCAGGCAGCAGTAAGGGAGTTACTTGACTCCATGGCTCATTGCAATCTACCCAATTCCTTCTAAACTTCTTATTCCACAGGTGTTAATGTCCCCCTCTGCATTTTTAATTGTCTTGATATTCCACTAATCAAGCAATTCTTTCTTCAGTAGCTCTGTTATTAGCTGTTCCTCTTAATGCGGCTCTTATTTCACAGCCCTGCAAGTTATTTTTAATTAGAGCTAAAAACATCAGCTCAGGTTTGGAAACATTAAATCAAGTGAACATCAATTCAGGTATGGAAATGACTTTCAGTGAAGCATTGGATTCACTGTCAAGGTCAAGATGCTCAGGAAGGCTTGCTTTTGTTTAATGAATCTGAAAGAGATGTGCCTTTAATTATAATGATAATCAGACTAAAGAAACAAGATCTTCTGATTACCTTCTACCTAGCTTGTCATGTTTTCATACATAATTTAGGTGTTAGCAAATGAATGCACATTCCAGTAAAGTTATATGTGTGTTTGCTTTGATCTTAAACTAAATAATATGGCCCTAGCATATTACTATATTTACTCAAATAGAAGATGCCCCTGATTATAAGACAACCCCCTAGTAATTAGATTCTCTATATAGAAAATGTATACATTTGTTATGATTTTCCAGGTATACAATCTAAATATTGGAGGTTCACCTTGAATTTGTCCTCCTTCCACTGCTAGAGCAGGGGAAAAAATCTGGGGGATAAAATAGATTTTTGCTTTCTGCTTTCCTCCAATTTTAAAACTAGGGGGAAAGTGCAAAAGCAGTTGTCACAAAATTGTGTAGTTAAGATCCCCATTTTTTGGAGGGGGAGAACCTTATCTTGGAATCAAGTAAATATGATAGTAAAGCTTCCAGTTTATTTTTACCTGGAGGAAAATGTATGGTGTGTTATATGTGATGATATACCTGTACCCCCCTTACCAAAATCCTAGATCTATCCGTTTTTGCCTATAGCACAGAATCCCTATGCTAAGAGATTGCATGAATTTGAGTCTGAAATGTTTGTGCCCCCTTATACCTTTTTATGTGTTTATTATAGGTGTTCTCTCAACATTGGGAAATGGATATGTTATTTTTCTATCTGCAAGACAGAAAAAGAAGCTGAAACCTGCTGAGATAATGACAATGAATCTAGCAGTGTGCGATTTCGGCATTTCAGGTAATTCAGTGCTATTGTATTGTTCACTATATCTGCAGTTTTTTTGGTCCTGATATATAAAGCCAGCTTCTACCCTTGAATCTGTAGATGAGGCTCCTCTCTCCTGGGAACCTTGTGCAGAATCCAGCCCTTCGTGTTTCTGCTTTATTTTTTCCACATAAACCAGAAGGAGAGGAAAAAGGATTAAAGAGCAATTTTAAGGGGGAGTAACTTTCTCCTTGGAAAGAAACCAAAAAAACAGAGAGAAATAGGACCTGATCCAGCAATCCTGCCTCTGGCAAAACTCCTGTTGAGTTTAACTCAGGATCAGACCGGCATTTTGGAATTGGCACAAAGCTGCTTTTATCACAGCTGAGGAAAATTATATTTTAGCTCTACAAATGGCACGGCACAGATCTAAATCCCTCATAAATACATACTGAACACAGCCAATAGAAACAGGGGGGAGGGCAATGTCAAGAGTTCACGCTCTCCAGTGTTATAATTTTCTGTCTAGGTCCCCACTTACAATGGGACACCTTCTATTTTCCTTCCCATACAAAAGGGTGCTCTGCCTATGACAGGCTGCAAAGAGTAAGACAAATAGCAAGTCATCGAAAGATCAACATGCCCAAGTTTCCATCTGAATGTATGTAAAATTGGGGAAGTGGATTGCTCTTTGTGAATCTTTGTTTTGTAATCCAATAAACCTTTGTAAATCTCTTTAAGTTGCTGAGACTTCTACATGCAATGGCAAACGGGCACTCTTTTCCAAGAGAAGGTCTTAAAGCAGTGGTTTTCAGCTTGTGGTCCATGGGCCCCTGGGTGTCTGCAGACTATGTCTAAGGGACCCAGGAAAGATAACCATGATCAATCAAAAGTATGTGAACACCCATACTTACAATTCAGAGGGGTTCTCACTGCTATTCAAATATTTTTAGGGGTCTGCCAATGAAAAAAGTTTGAAAACCACCGCCTTGGAGTTACCACCATCACAGTTACAACAACTCAGCTTAGCTGTAAGAAAATCCACCAGGAATATGCTCTTGACATTCGCCCAAATGACCACAAGGTGTCGTTGGTGTGGTTCGTAAAAGAGCTTAAAGGGACCAACGATACCGTTACCTTACATTTTTATTAAATAACATAATTAATGCACCTTAGAGAAAGCAGTCATTTTCATTGCATTTTCTGAGAAATGTCATGATTGAGATTGAGAATTTGCTATCTTGTGGCTGAGTGATCAGCCTGTGGCTACACAACTAAATCGCAACTGGGGCATTTATTTGCTTGTGTCGGTAGCAAGTAGAGTCCCAGCATAATAATAATAATAACAATAACAACAACAATAATAATATTGCATAGCAATATTGCACATTGAATAATTTATCAGACGTTATTTTCCATCTCTAGCACTCAGAAATGCATCAAATAAATTTTAGACCGGGCTTGTTTCTTGTCTCTAATTAGGATCCCACTTGTGACTTGGATCATTTCTGCAAACTTACTTTCATCTTGATGCCGTCTACTGGAGTATGAGGAATTGTTCCTTGATCGTGCAAGCTGCAGTCGGTTTGTGAGGACTGTGATTAAAACAAGGATTTAGAATCAGGACTTCCAGTTTCTGTTCCCAGTTCTTAAACTGACATACCATATAATTTTCAAACAAGTTAGTTAATCTTTTATGAATCAGTTGATTTTAATGGACACATACTGCTTTTTAACCCCTCCCTAATATTTAAAACTGAATATTTTCCCATGGAAACATTTTCCTTTCAGGAAGTGCTAATGCCAAAAAATGGCACATTTTGTGGGAATGTACTGATTCCAGTTTAGGTTCCAAGGGATACCAGCACTCATTGCAAACTTGTTTTTTGGTGCACATTTTTCTTGCCACCTTAGCTAAAAAATATCAGTGGTCTAAACTGCTATAGGTTATGTGCTAATCCTAGGCAGGGTTGCCAACTGAAGACATTTAGTTTTTACTCTCAATCTACAAGCCTTTTGCTGTCAGCCAGATGTTTTTAGTAATGCAGGTTTTTACTGATTTATGTTTTAATAATGTAAATGTAACTCTTCAGCCAGCTCTGCCTGCTGTCAGGCCCCAGTTACAAGGGCTGGATTCAAATTTAGATAACATCATAGAATCATAGAAAATGAGGGTTGGAAAGGACCTCAGGAGGTCACATCTAGTCCAATCCCTGCTGAAAGCAGGACCAGCCCCGACTAGATCACCCCAGCCAAGCTTTTGTCTAGCTGGGTGTTAAAAACCTCCAAGGATGGAGCTTCCACCACCTTTCTGGGTAACCTGTTCCAGTGTTCTACTACCCTCCTAGTATCAATCATAGACAAAAAAAATTGATTGTCAGTAAAAAGTTAGCAGTAAATTTTTGGGGGGTTGGAAATCCTGCTCGACTGCACTGAGATTTTTGCATAGTGCTGCCCTCCCATGCCACCACAGGGATCCCCTGCTCACCGCCACAACCTGATGTCTCTGACTTTACTCTGCACCATAGTGCATCCTCAGCCAATCCCCCATTAGCCCCACTCGCACTGTCTCAGCATGGACTCACAAAGCATGGACCTGTGGCTCAACAGTATTACAGGCAGCCTGGATGCAGCAGCAGCAGTAGCTCATGGGTGAGCGAACACTCCTTGCAGGGTGTTGCACTCCCACTCTGACACCAGGTAGCACTGCTGTGCTCTGTCTGTTGGAGCTTCAATCAAGCTGCAGCTGCATAGTGTTTTTACTGACAGTTAACCTTTTCTTTTATGGAATTCACTGGCAGTCCTTTTTATCCTGATTTTTAATTTTAATTTTTTATTTTTTACTGACAGTCACTAAATTTACAGTTGGCGCGCTGGTCCTAGATACTCATTATTTCCATGGAGATGTCCAGGGAGTGGCAATAGGTATTTGTCTAAAATCAAACCCAAGGTTGAGTTACAGTCAAATGGTTCATTTAACTCCTGTACAAACATAGCTTGGTTATAAGGACTGCTCCAAGCACAGAGGTGATGTCTCTTGACTTTTATTATTGAAAACTGTATATATCCAAATGATTGCCAACTTTTTTATTTTTAGGTGAGTCCCTCATTATATTTGACATTTATTCTTAAAGCCCCAAATGATGGGATAATAGAATCTTAATTACCATTGAAAGAGAAAAAGTACCTTTCTAGCCTTCAAGGGTGTGTCCAGATGAGCCCAGTCATGCGGTATGTGGCAGCGCAAACACGTACAGTTCTCCGCACTGCAAGGGCATGCTGTTCAAGCATGCACTGCTCATTTCCCCTCCCCCCCGGTGGGTTTTTTTGACCCCTGGATATCCAGGGGGAAAAGAACCAAACCAGAGCAGTGCATGCTCAGGCAACATGCACTGATAAAAAGGGGAGCTGGGCCGCTTGGAGCTGTGCTGTGGCTGCCAGCCTGGCTCTGCCTGGCAGGATCACCGTGCCTGCAGCTCTGGGAGGCCCCTAAGACCCCAGGTAAGGCTGCTGGGGCCAGCACAGTGCTGGTCTCAGCCTCCCCTATGCCACCTGGGGCAACCTGCCATGTGCCAAAGTATGCGTGGGATGGGCGTTCCCTGGGGACAAGAAGCAGCGGTGCAAGGTGCACCACTGCTGCTTGTCTCTAGGGAACAAAATGTCCACACTCATGTCGATGCACCCCATGAGTTTTTGAAGGAAAGCTTAAAAATATGAACCAAATGGATCTTAGGAGCTAAAAAATAATTTTTTACGGTTAATAAAACCCAAAGTTGTATGCCTTTAAAATACTTTTATGTATTGCCAGCCAGGAATTTTCCATTCCTGTGATTTTGGGAATAGAAAATAAAATTTATTTTAAACTCAAATTCTCCATGGCAAAAATGCTGAGTTAGCAATTATATATCTTCTGTCAAAAAGTGAAAAACAAAATGTTCTCTTTCTAGTCATTTTGACCCACATCTAATTTAAAAATTTTTTTTTCTGCCCGTCGGTGTTTTATTCTGAATAAATTCAACAAAATGATAAACTATATTCCCTTATCGCTAATATTTTTCTAGCACTAACTACATCTCCCTTTGCAACTAACTAGAGTCCCTATTTTACTACACTTCTTTTCTCTTTTTACAAGAGCTTCTGATAACACCTCTTCATTTCCAGTTTACAGCCCTACTCTATCCTTACAAGCAGACTGTCTACAGTTACATAGAGTCTTATTGCACTCAGCTTAACCTCTTCCTTAGGCCTAACGAAGAGCACTTGATGCCTGAAAGCTTTTCCAGAAGCTCTCCAACTATACAGCTGGTCCCAGGAAAGATATCACAAAAAATCCTTGCCTCTTGTACATTTCCCTATTTCCCTAGTCTTTTAGCCAAAGAGCCTAGTGTATAGTGATAGTAGGCTATTCAATTATCGGTTCCTCAAGGCACTGTTACATTACAAGCAAGTGCAGGATAACTTAATGACAGTTTAATACTGTAGTATCATATCAGATTGGTTTGAATGGAGCTGTTCCGATAAATTCAATAGATCGTGAGGAATTTTTCATGAAAAATATTGAAATATTTCACTTCATTTTCAAATCAAAAGTTTTTTTGGATTTCCGTTTTATGAAAAATGTTACAATTTTATACCAATTTCAGACTAAAGCATATCTTGAAATATTAGGATTCTCTACAGTGCTGTAACTCTGAGGTTGTATTGTTTCTACTCCCAAGATATGTTGGTGCTTATTTTTCATAAGATTTAGAGAGGTTCAGCCCCAAAGGAATTGTTGGATCATCCAATTTGATCTTCTTTATAATACAGACCCTTAAATTGCACCCACATAGCTCTGTATTAAGCCCCTAAACTTGTATTGAACTAGCACAGTGGGGCCCAACCATTTGACCCTACAGCCCGAGTCAGTGGCACATGTTTGTTCGTGGCCTGGATTCAGCTTGCAAAGCTGGATCTGATCTGTGGGTGAGCATGGCTGGGTCTGACTTTGGTGTGCAAGACCAGTCTGGCATGGGCCCCAACCCTGTGTGCTGGATTGGTCCCCATGCCAGATCAAGCCTGCAGTCCTGTCCCCACATGCAGGGCCATGTTGTCTGGCCTGCAGAGCTTTGAAACTTGGCAGTGGGGGAGAGAGGCTGTGTTAATTGCCACTGCTCCCCAACCCTGGAGAGCCCTATGGGTGGGATGACAGGGCTCTGTCGACTGGGTCTGGTCCATGGGCTAGAGGCTGAGCACCACTGAACTAGAATGTACTTTCCAGAAAAGCAACTGATTTTGATCTGAAGACATTAGGAGATGAAAAATCCTATGCTTCCCTTGGATCCTTAGGTTGGACTATCTTTCCTTTGTAATGTAACCCTTTTTCACAGTTAGCTTCCTATATTTGGGCCATGACAGGTTTTGAGGTACTCAAGTTTTGAGGCACTAGGCAATTTTACCCTGCATTTGAAGACACCAATCTTCTCATTGATTTCCTGGGTGGATAATGTACTGATAAAAGTTATAATTTAGAGACATTCCCTAATTAAGAAGAGATGGGAATTGGGAGTTTGTCCCTCAGTTAGGGAGAGCCCGTGAGTTAGTTAGAGGTATCCAGAAGTTGTGTGCTGCTCCACAACTTAAAGTGTGTTGTTCTTTTCATTGATTGTATGTCTGTATTTACTGAACCCAGTGATCACTACAGGTAAAAGTAGGGCTTGGTTTTGTCTGTGCTGAAAGGGTTTTTGGACAAACAAAATGACACACTTATTCCCCTCCTTGAAGTTTCAGGAAAGCCCTTCACTATCATTTCCTTCTTCTCTCACCGCTGGATTTTTGGCTGGATTGGCTGCCGCTGGTATGGATGGGTTGGTTTCTTCTTTGGCTGTGGGAGCCTTATCACCATGATGACTGTCAGTCTGGATAGATACCTGAAAATCTGTCACTTATCTTATGGTAAGCTACCAGGGCATTTTTACTGAACAAATTTCTTCCCTGGGGGGAATGTTTAGGAATTTTATGACTAAATTTATGTGAATCGTTCTTTATTCCCTACTCGCCTGATTAGCAGGGAAATCCCTGAATGGTAGTTTTGGCAGAAATGGGAGTATAATTTTACAACATCTCATGTCAACGTCATTAACAATGTCCCATTGTGTCAGAGCCTGAGCGCGCCAAGGTGAAAAAGACCAGGCATTGATTTTTATTGTCCAAGTAGAATGAAATAAACCGAAGTGAAGTAAAGAAATAACATAAATGGCAACAGCTAAATTAGTACATTTAGAGTTTATGATTCTCTCCATTTTTAATAACTCACGTTATCCATAGCAATGAGAGAGTAATAGAATTTAAAGTCAAAATTAAATATTATGTTCATCTCACCTAACCTCCCACATATCTTGCTGGGATCCTGTGACCCCAGCTGACTTCCTGCCCCTAGGGCAGGGGCCTGGACTCGATGATCTCCCGAGGTCCCTTCCAGCCCCAATGTCTGTGAAATCTATGAAATAATACAGGGCATAGAATTTTTTGGTTTTCTGTATCGAATCCCTAAATTGAGCTAGAACGCTTGTCTTAGAAAGATATCCAAGCCTTAATTTAAAGACGTCAAATAAAGAAGTCATGACATCTCTAAGTAAGTTTCCCCAAATGTTTATTGACTTATTAAAAACTTTTACCTGATTTCAAAGCGGAATATCTCGTTTCAGCTTTTGGCTGTTGAATCTTTCTATACCTGTGTTCCCTAGATGAGAGAGCATGCTGCTGCCTGAAACCTTTTTCCCTACGAAAGTTCTTGTAGACTGAGGGCAAGTCACCTCTTAAACTCCCTTGGATACATTGAGTAGATTCTACTCTGTCAGTGCATCGCTGTAAAGAAGAGCTTTTCAGCCTCGTCTTATTCCTGTGACTCTTTGCTAAAGACTTTCTGATAAACCGACACTGTATTTACCCAAATTACCATACTGCATTTATTCAAGATGACCCTCTAGTTAAGATAACCCCCAAATAATTGGATTCTATACATGGCAAATGTACATGTTTGTTATATTTTTCCATGTATAGAATTTAATTAGTGGAGGTCATCTTCAATTCGTCACTGCCCCTGACTGCTGCAGTGGGGGAAAGCAGTGACAGGGGGACAGGCAGTAGGTGAGGCAGCTGCGGGGACTGAGGGGAGGCAGTGTAGGGGCAGATGGTAGAGGGGTCAAGCAGCTCCCCCCCGCTACTTGCCCCCTTGCTGCCTGCCCTATTTCATAGGATTATATACAGTAATTTTATAATATGAATATATAATATATGGTTTTCTAAAATATATGATGAGTATATAGAGTGAGCAATGAGACAGTATTCCCCAAACTCCAGCCCTTGCATTACCTTTAATAGTTAAAGTAATTAACAACATGATTAATTGTATTTAACAAAACCATATGGGCACATATATGTCCTTCAAATATATTACTGAACAATTTCATATAACCAGTTACTGTGGCTTGCAAGTGGAGTTCACCTGACACCGTTTTGGGAGATGACTGAAATGGAGCATCATATAGCATATGGGATGGTGGGATACACAGTACAACCCCCCTCTGTCCTTTAGCAAGAACCTGGCACTCAGGCAACCATGAAAACCAGAAAAACCATGCAACTGCAGCTCTCCATATTCATGAGCACTATGGTTGCCTGTTGTGACTGTGTTAAGGAAAAGCCTGTGTGAAGTCAGGCAGACAGCCACTACATTTGATTTTCTCTCTGTGTTAGGAAATAACTATCCTTATTGATATTCTAAGATGTCCTCCAGGCTAGGAAACGTTATCTTATTTTATGTTCATACGTTGCTCAGCCAAGTAGAGCCACTTTATAGAGTCACATGACATCACTCTAATGGAGACACCCATCAAAATCTATTTTTACATCTGGGTTTCATGTACAAAGCTAAGTAAAATGCTTTTTCTTGGAGGGAGGAAGACAAAAAAAAAAGAAGTTAGAGGTCTAAAAATTCTTGGGCCTGTTCCATCTCTCTAATCTTCTCCATGGAAGAGACAGTATTATGGTGATTTATGAGGAGGAATACCCTGACAACAAACTTTAGACTAGCTAATAAAAGAACAGAAACGACATATCACCTGATTTTGGTGCCTATCCATAACTCAGATATCAAATGCCATATATTTATTGATCAAAGGGACAAACCTTTGGTGGGTACAAGACATAGCTAAAAGACTGTGTGCCCTGCGTAAGACCCCCTTGGAAGCAGGGTTTCCTGAGAGCCTGAGAGTGGGGGGAAAAGGGGAGAACAAGTGGTCAATCTTACCTACTCTGGGAGTCAAAGGCACTGGCTACTGTCTGCCTGTACCTGGCTGCTGCGGTGTCTGTGCACCCAGCTACTACTGCCCTGGGCAGCTGGTATTCTGGCACCCAAAGGCTGGTGCCCTATTCACCCAGCCCCAGTTATGCTGTTGGGTGGGAAAATATTTCTTATTCAATGAAAAGAACTAATGAATACACTTCTGAATCCCACAATTCGAGGGCAATTTGCAGAAGTAGTAAGTGTCCAGTCATTTGATCAGCTCTTATTTGTACATGTAGAAAAGGCTAAATGGGATTTTGCCATATATGTGGGCTTTGAAATCCACCGTTGTAAAGGCTGAATTGTCTTTCAGGTACCTGGCTGAAGAGGCATCATGCCTTTATGTGTCTGGTGGCAATCTGGGCCTACGCTTCTTTCTGGGCCACCATGCCGTTAACTGGAGTGGGAAACTATGCTCCTGAGCCCTTTGGGACATCGTGCACGCTGGATTGGTGGCTGGCGCAGTCTTCAGTGGCGGGGCAGGCTTTTATTCTGAATATTCTTTTCTTCTGCCTTGTGTTCCCAACCGCAGTGATTGTGTTCTCCTATGTTAAGATCATTTTAAAAGTTAAGTCTTCCTCCAAAGAAGTAGCTCATTTTGACACTAGGATACAAAACAGCCATCAACTGGAAATGAAGCTAACCAAGGTGAGTCATAGATATTTCTTATCCTGATTTGTCCAACCCTAATGTCTGGGTGGAAGAGTCTGTGCCCCTACAGAGCACTGAATATGTTTTTCTACTCGGCCATGTCACCAATGCACACTGATGATCTAAAAGTGCATGTGTTGACCTTTCTTCTTCTTGTACCTACAAGGTAGGAGGGCAAACTTGAGACAAATAAAGTGTAGTTTTGTGTGTAAGGCACCCAAATGTGACCCTTGATATCAGGATCCAATGTGAAGCTCTGCGATAGGCTTCTATTGTGGCTTTGGATGGTTAACTTCATCTTTGTGCCTCAGTTTCCCTGTCTGGATAATGGGGATGATAATACTTCCTTATGCCACACAAGTTGTTGTAAGATAGGTGCCCAAGACTTTTGGTGGAGAAAGCCCTAAAATATATAAATGAGAAGCATTTTTTTGTTATTAGTTACATAAACCTTTTGGACAATTTGTATTCCTCTCTCCAGAAAGATACAAGAACATATAGGCGATGCGTAGGGAGGGTACGGGGGGGGCACTTGCCCCTCCCCACCCAAGATTGGCCACGGCCATAGCTGCTGCTGGCTTCTGTGGGTGGTCACCACCTGCCCCCACCCTCACCGTCAACATGGATGGCGGCCTCTGCAGGTGATCCCTGCTCACCACTCACTGCTACCACCAACAACGCTGGTGGCTGCGGGCAGTTCATGCTCGCCGCTCTCTGGCATGGTGCCCTTGCCAGTCCTGGGAGGCACCAGTCATTAATGCAAGAACAGGACATTACTCTGATTTTAGGTGTTTCTTTTTTAGTCACAATGTGTATGGAAATTTTGCCCCAGCCTTGAGATCCTGATGCAATGCCAATTATTATAAATTTTGGGTACCCTGCCTTAGTTTTGCTATGTATGTGTTGTTTTCTCAAAACTGGACACAGTACTCCAGATGTGGCTTCACCAATGCTGAATAGAGGGGAAGAGTCATTTCCCCTGATCTGCTGGCAGCACATCTACCAATGCCACCCAGGATGCTGTTAGCCTTCTAGGCAACAAGGGCACACTGCTGGCTCATATTCAGCTTATTGTCCACTGTCGCCCCCAGGTCCTTTTCTGTAGAGCTGCTCCTTAACCAGTTGGTCCCCAGCCTGTACCGGTGTATGGGATTATTCTGTCCTAAGTGCAGGACTTTGCACTTGTCCTTGTTGAACCTCATGAAATTTCTTTTGGTCCATTCCTCCAATTTGTTGAGGTCTCTCTGAATCCTAGCTCTACCCTCCAGTGTATGTAACTACTCCCCCCAGCTTGGTGTCATCTGCAGACTTGCTGAGGGTGCAATCCATCCCATCTACCAGGTCATTGATGAAGATATTGAACAAAAAGCACCCCAAGACCGACCCTTGGGGCACTCCACTTGATACTGGCTGCCAACAAGACATTGAGTCATTGATCACTACCCTTCAAGCCCAATGATCCAGCCAGTTTTCTATCCACCTTACAGTCCATACATCCAACCTGTACATCCTTAGCTTGCTTGTGAAAATGTTGTGAGAGACAGTATCAAAAGTCCTGCTAAAGTCAAGTGTGTCATGTCCACTGCTCTCCACATTCACAGAGCCAGTCAAGTCATCGTAGAAGGCTATCAGGTTGGTCAGGCATGACTTGGCCTTGGTGAATCCATGCTGACTGTTCCTGATCACTTTCTTCTCCTCCAAGTGATTAGAAATGGATTCCTTGAGGACCTGCTCCATGACTTTTCCAGGGACCAAGGTGAGGCTGATGGGTCTCTAGTACTCTGCATCCTCCTCCTTCCATCTCCTAAAGAGAGGAACTATATTTGCCCTTTTCCAATCATCTGGGACCTCTCCTGATCACCACAAGTTTTCAAAGATAATGGCCAGTGGCTCTGCAATCACATTAGCCAACTCCCTCAATGGTTTTGGGTGTGTGGCATCCAGCCCCATGACTTGTACACATCCAGCTTTTCTAAATAGTCCCTAACCTGTTCTGTCTCACTGGTGGCTGCTCATCTCCTCTCCAAACTGTGCTGCCAGATGCACAGTCTGGGAGCTGACCTTGCCTGTGAAGATTGAGGGGAAAAATGGCATTCAGTATTTCAGGCTTTTCTGCATCATCTGTCACTAGGTTGCCTCCCCCATTTAGTAAGGGTTCCACACTTTCCCTGATCTTCCTCTTGTTGCTGACATACTGTAGAAAGCCTTCTTGTTATCCTGCATATCCCTTGCTCCCTGCAACTCCAACCCTTTGGCCTTTCTGACTTCATCCCTGTACGCCCAACCAATATTCTTATACTCCTCCCTAGTCATTTGTCCAAGTTTCCACTTCTTGCAAGCTTCCTTTTTGTGTTTTAGCTCAGTGAAGAATTTCCTGTTAAGTCAAGCTGGTCTTCTGCCATACTTGCTCGTCTTCCTGCACTTCAGGATGGTTTGTTCCTGCACTCTCAGTCAGGCTTCTTTAAAATATAACCAGCTCTCCTGGACTCCTCTCCCCATCAGACTGGCCTCCCAGAGATCCTGCCCATGAGTTCCCTGAGCAAGCTGAAGTCTTCTTTTCTAAAGTCCAGGGTTCTTACTCTGCTGCTCTCCATCCATCCTTTCCTCGGGATCCTGAATTCAGTCATCTCATGGCGCTACTGCCCAAGTTGCCATCCACTACTACATTCCCCACCAATTTTTCCCTGTTTGTGAGCAGCAGGTCAAGAAGAGCAGGGCCCCAATTCTGGGTCTTGAATGGAGCCCGACTTACTGGGGTTTAGATGTGTAGAGTCAAATCACTGAATCATGGAAAATGAGGGTTGGAGGGGACCTCAGGAGGTCATCTAGTCCAACCCTCTGCTCAAAGCAGGACCAGCCCCAACTACATCATCCCAAATCCCTCCATTCAGCCCCAGAATTTCAAAGGAGGATGGATATGAAGTTCCCTTTTGACTGATCTATGTTTCGAATGAAATGCTGGTGGGTGACAGAAGAAAGGAAAGGCTTCAAATTTTTAAGCAATTTTTTGCTTCAAGAAAATGGATATCGATAGATGAAAACGGAGATTGGGCATATTACATTATCTGAAAGGTTTTAAATGGTTTGAGAGCAGAGCATTTCTGGAAGATTTGTGCTGTAATCACCTCTTTCCAAATGAGTTTTCTTGTACTAATATCTTTTAGGATGCAGTGCATTTGCCTATGAATTAGAGCAGTGCTGTAAAACATGCACAACACTGTTATATAATGCCATAGAGGAGATATATTATGTTTAAATAGATCTGGGCAAACTGGCTTACTCAAAACAAGTGTCTAAAAACTTTAGCAAAACTACAACATTCTTTTAGTGTTTAAACAATATATCTACACACATGCACACAGAGCTGTCATAGGAAAGTCCTTTACAATAGCAATTCACCCAGTAAGGGTCTGTAGAAATTGTTCACAGTATCTGCATTATGTAGCAGAGAATGAGATTCCTACTATGGCTCAGTTTAAATATTCAGTTGAAGTTATTGCTTGCAATTAAACTCCCATCAGTTTCATTTTACACTGAACTAGAGAAATGCCGCAACTGTGACTATAGCTATGGTATTCCCATAAGGCTGTCAACTTGAGTCTTTGCATGTCGCTCACAAAGTGTGCATTTTTAATTCTGTTCATCCTCCAAAGTTATCAAATCATCTGCATTTTTACTTCAGAAAGTTGGCAGAATTATTTTTTTTTAGCTTCCTTAACAGTCTCCTATGTTTTGTTCCCACCCTGGGCCCAGGCAGGAGCTGAGGTTGACTTAGCAGAACTCTGACTTCCCTTCTCCCCTTCTGTTATAACCATCTTTCATCATAATATATTGCCAGCTGCTCCCAAGTTGCTGGTGATTTCCTCATGCATCATCAGCACTACCTGCAAGACAAGAAGCAGCCCTGTGTCAAACCTAAATGTAGCAGTCTATTTTCCTTTTCTTATTCCTTAGCTCCCCTTGTCCTTTCTGTAGGACCTAACAGTGGAGATTGGGGAAGACTGACAGGGGCTCAGATGGGGAAAACATTGACACACATGCACTTCCATCCGGATGCCAGATTTTCTTTCTGAAACATTGACAGCAATGACTTCAACCCAGGGCTGGAAATTTTTGCTAAAATTCCTTTCAAAGACATTCGCTTAATCAGTGAAAAGAATAGCTTTGGGATTTATGCGTGTGTTTGGGAATCACGTTTGTATTCACGGTTCCTTCATAGCTGATCTCTGTGTCCTTGAGCTGGAAAGTATTTGGATGGATGAAGCTATAGAAATGCAACATACTTCAAAAAAGTCCAGGAAAGAAGTAGATACAGCCTAAGCCAGTGGTTCTCACCTGGGGTGCCATGATGCAGGTGCTGCCACTGTGGCTGCAATTAAAACTGTGCCATGCACAAGGCTGCAGCATGTGTGCATGCTCCTCCTTCATTAAGGCTCTCTAATAGCCCTAAACCAAGAAGCAGAGCTGGAGCTGACTTGTGCTTATTATATATGTGTATATATGTATCTACACACACACACACACACACACACACACGTGTATACGTATATGTGTGTGTAAAATGTATATGAACACATTCAAATATTCATTTAAATTAAATTTCAAATTTCACTGGTTATTTTGGTTAGCGTATTCACCTCTAGGCTGGCTGAATAGCCTCAGGGAAAGATTTGCGCCAAAAGGATCACAAGGTTTTCTATAAGTAGTAAGTGAACGTACAGCTGCAGATAGATAAGGAAAAGGACAATGAATGACGGGATCGGTTCACCTTGCAGAACTTGTCTCCAGCTGGGATTTATTTTTTTCCATTGTGTCGTGTGCTACATCAGGTTGGCTGCATCTGTGGTAAAGAAGTGCTGTGCTAGAGAATTGGTCCATAAAGAGAGTTGTTAGGTAACTTTTTGCTCTCCTTCTGGTTTATTTTTGTCTCACCAGGTGGCAGTGTTGATCTGTGCAGGATTTCTGATTGCCTGGATTCCCTACGCTGTGGTATCTGTGTGGTCAGCTTTTGGACACCCAGACTCCGTTCCCATTCCGCTTTCGGTGGTACCGACCTTGTTTGCAAAATCAGCAGCTATGTACAACCCAATTATTTACCAGGTCATTAATTGTAAATCTGCCTGTTGTCGGGCACGTGGCTCAAAGGCCCTGCAGAAGAAGAGCACCTTGCAGAATACCAGGTAAATTTTGGAAGTGGGGTAGGCCATAAGCTTTTCCATTCCTGAACACTCTTGTCGTTACCTCAGAATCTTTACACAGCGGATGAGTTGCTGTATTGGGATGGTCAAATTGTTCATCTGGCTTGGTTTCTTGTTTTTAATAGTGGTTCGTGGTACATGATATTTAGGAAAGTTCAACTCCTTCCACAACGAATCAGTTTAATTGCCTAACATCTGTAGCATGTGTTGAAGCATGGCTTCTTGAGTCTCCCTGGTGGTCATCACCTGAAGCGCACTAAGACAGTTATCTCTTACAGGTTCTATTCCAAAACCCATTTAAATTATTGAAAAGATGTCTATTGACTTCAGTGGGCATTAGATAAGGCCCACAGTCATTTTATCCCAACTAAAGACATAACCATAAAAGGTGCTAAACACTAGGGCTGTGCGAAACTTCGGTCCCTGATTCGATTTGGCGGAGATTTGGCCTAATTTGGTGGCCGAATCTCTGAATCCAAATCCAAATCCTCCGAATCAATTCGGAGATTTGGAAAGGTTTGGCAATTCAGATATAGACACAGCTTTAAATGTTTTTTCTACGTACTTCAAGATACCAGGTGGCTCATGAACACTGCAATGCTGGGGTAGATGTAACATCCCACAGCAGTGTTGGGGGGCTCCCCAGTGCGCTCAGCAGCAGACCCAGAAG